TCTGAAGCTGGCCTGTGTTTCTTTTCAGCAAAATGCTTCTTCCAGGGAAGGTCAGGCATCTTTTCTGCTCAGCTTAGTTACAGTTGGAGCACTGTGTACACTGTGCTTTGTTCTGGACATTTCACAAACTGACGTAGGTCTCGAAGACAGTGACCAGGATAGAGAGTCTCTAAACATCATGAAAAGGACTGGGGCAACTGGCGATGTTTACCCTGGAGAGGCAAGGTCCAATGGAGTTACTTGTAAGAATTTCATGTCATTGTATTTCTAGATTTTTTTTCCTTTTGTAATTGTAGAGATCCCACAGACTCCAAGTTCAGATAAAACAGGGTTTGAATCCTGGGCCTGTTTCCTACTTTACATGTCCGTGCTCAAGATGCTTGTGTCCTCTTAGCCTTCATCTCCTTGTTTGCAAAATGGGGGGAACATTCCCTACCTCAGTGTAACTGCTCAATAAGTGGTAGCTGCCATTTTCTCTGTCTGTTGAAGTAGCACTGACCTTGGGTTGTGAGATTTCCTGTCAAAACAAGTGGCACCAGAAAGGAGGGAAGTATGCATAGAATTCAAACACAAACAAAAAAATTACCCTTTGTGCTGGCACAATTGCTTTTCAGTACAATTTGTGAACATAAGAGAACTACAGGAAGAAGGAAGAAACCATCTCTTCATAACAGCTATTCTCTGTTGCACCAGGTGCTTGTAGGAGATTCATGGCACCTAGAACAACTCCAGGAACACAGTAAATATTCTTTTGTAATACGGATGTTTGTAACATCAAGTGCTTCCCAGGTTTCACATTCTGGTAAGAAGGGGTTGACAGAGTCTCTGCCTTGAGCAGCTGCCTCTTATTCTGGTGCCATAGGTGATTCATCCACCTTCTGATGGATACAGGAAAGATTGGAGTGACAACTGTTTACATTGAGCAAAAATGCTCCCTGGGTACAGAATACCTGAGGGATGTGGGAGAGGTCACACTTCAGCATCTTTTTTGTATCTAAAATGAGCTTTCAACACTTGTAAATGCAAATGTAAGCATTGTCTCATTGACTTTACCCACTTTTTAAGAATTAAATTTATTGAGGTCACATCGGTTAATGACATGTGAATTTCAGGTGTGTAGCACTATAATTCGGTACCCATGTACTCTATTGCATGTTTACCACTCGAAGGCTAATTGCCTTTCGTGGTCGGATATTTGACCCCTGTATCCAATTTGCTCTTAACTACTCTTTAAACCAGGCTTCTGAACCCAGGGGAGTGACAAAGTGCCCAAATCACAGATGGCTGTCAGCAGGGCCTTAGCTCCTGGCCCCATCTAGATACCACGTCTCCTTCCAGAAAGGGTTCACATTTTCAGCATCTGTGCTCAAAGCATCAAATTTTCTAAGCCCTTTTGATGTCCAAGGAATGTTTGAGATCTTGTTTCCCTAAGAAACAAGAGTCACAGTAAAAGGCCCTGTTTTCCTCATGAACGTTTTGTGCGCCTTTACTCAAAAAATGAGTGCATAGTATCAGAAAACATTTAGATGCAATTTATATGGTCACAGTATGTGTAGTGTAACAATCGCTTTTGTGATAGGTAAGCTGAGGTTTTTTATGTCTCTCCCCTTATTTGAATTTGCTTTAAAAATAATATGAGTGGCTTTGTGTGCACATGGATGTTAGTGCAGATATTGGAGAATAAACAGCACATTTAAATCTTCTCCATCAACTTTTGCCAGATAATCAGTTCTTCACTTAGTGACTTGTGTGTTCCCCCCGAAAGAGAATAGTTAAATTTCAGATGGAGACAAAAGTATAGGCAACAAAACTCCATTTCATATAGAAAATCTATAAGTCTGTCAAGGTAACCTGGAGATTAATAATGTAAAACAAAAGTACATAGATGAGTAAGGATCTTGCACTCCAGGGTGGATGGAATAAACTTACTGCAACTGTGGCTTCATTATGTGCTTGGAAATAGCTCTCATTACCTAGCCGTCACGTCAGAGGATTGGGTAACTATTTCTGCCATATTATAGGCATTTGGTAAATGGTAGTTCAAATTCAGATTAGAAAGGTAATGAATGGCATTTGAAGCAATTTGAGATTCCCCTATGTAAAGGGATCTCAATGTGTTAAAAGTAGAAGCATTATTTCTTCAGATCATTGCTTATTCCAATGGGACAGGTGGACAAAAATGTTAATATGTACATACATACATAGATAATTATTGAAGATGAAATAATCAGGTAAAATGCTTCTTCCAGACCTTGACTAAACTAAACAACAAACAAATTAATTAACAAAAAACATTTAAATATTATCTTAGACATCTTTTTTGTGTTTCACATGAGAAGCACACATTCAAATCCCTCTCAGGGCTTAACGTCTGTGCATTGCACCACTCTGCCTCTTGCCCTAACAGCGCAGCAGATGGTGTTCCATAAAGCAAACAGGGACATAGAGTAGCTGTCCATTCTTTGAAGTTTTAATAGCCAAGTATGTTTACATTTTGCTTTTTGTGGTATAATAAATGCGGTTAACTGTGCGCAGCTTGCATATGGCTGTACACAGAGTTAAGATCACAGCACTCAAAGCCGATACTTTGGCCGCACCCTGAATCTCAAGGAGAGCAGCTTCTTTAGCCTACTGGAAAAGCTGAGAAGTAAGCCCAGTATATGTAATGGCCTTTCTTTAAAGACTGTTTCAGTGGGTTTGGGGGAATGGGGAGTGGAGTAGTCAAGGCTTTATTCATTTTGGCCTTTTGAAAGGATAATGTATTTCAGAATACCCTCACCACTTTTGTCCCTGAGAACTCTGAGCGTGAGAGCAGGAGAGCTGGGAGCAATACATTTGACTGAAGATTTGGGGAGGGAGGAGGAATGTGGGTAACAGTTATTGTTCTCTTACCCCTCCCCTCAGAAAGTCCTACTGAAATGAGACTGTTAGGGGACAGGGTTTGATGTGATACCGAATCTCCCCAAGACCCTGTATGTGAATTTATATAAGGGGCAAGGACTGAGCTCTCCTTTCTTCATCTATGATTATCCCAGATGAGCTGACTTTTTGGAGGGTCTTTAATATTTAAACATAAGACAAATTTACCCTGAAGCTAACAAAGCTTAAACGTCAAAGCCCCTCACCTGCACAGCCCCCTCCAAGACCATGGAGGAGGGGCCCTAGCAGTGTGTTCTCATTATGTTTCCCTGTAAAGTTTGCAGATATAAGACATTTTAACTGACAGGATAATCAATGGCGACTGCTGTCTCCCTCTGCTGCAATTTCTCCTTCATTGCACTTTGCCTCCTGTCAGGTAGAGTTGGAATGGCCATGGGCATTTTGAGGATCTAGCAAAGGGAAAGTTGTTCCAGGTTTACTTTTGGTTTAGTGGGATATATTTGTGTGGCTCACAGTCACCTTTGCTTAGAGCTAAGTTATTGCAAGGTGTGATTCCAAGAATATCTTATTGCCCTCTGTGCCCACTTGCTCATTGCCTTAATCAAGGGTGCAGAAATTGAGGTCTCATTACTGGTCCAAAGAAACCCAGAACCAGAAAGATGTGGATTATGGAGGAGAAATGAGGTTTGATGTATCAAGGAGATTTTAGTCTGGATAATTCTTCCAAATATGGAGAAACGTAATGGAGGCTTTCCCCAAATGGACAATAATCTCCAATTTATATGCTATCACCAGAAAGTAATTAGAAACGATTATTCTAAATTATTAATTATAAAGATTTTGAACAGCTATGCTAGAGAAATTATTTTGTTCATTCTCTAGAAAAAATTTAACAAAGTTACCATCATAAAAAGAGACAACAGAATATGCAGACTGCCCTTTTTTATTATCTCACATTAGCTGGACAAAGATTCAGCAATCTGGAAAATAAATCAGTAGAAAATACCCCAGGTTGAAGTACAAAGAGAAAAGAGGATTAAAATTATGAAAAAAAAATAAGACATTTGGAATACAAAGAAAACTTGTAATATATGAATAATTAAAGTCCCAAAAGGGGAGGTGAGAGAAAGCGGAAATAAGATTTGATTGTTGGTTAAGCATCTCACAAATCATCTGAAAGTTATCAAGACAAATTCAAGAAGCTTTATGAATCCCAAACATAATTAAATATGAAGAAAAATACTTAGGTGAATCATAGTAAGACTACTGAAACTCAAAGACAAAGAAAAGACCATAATGAGAGCAACCAGATAAAAAGATGCATTGCTTTCAAAGATCAAAATAAGACTGATTGCTGATTGACATTAACAGTAGACTCCAGAAAACAACACAATAACATGGAAATACTAAAAAATAAAAAAGTTAAATTCTATACCCACTGAAAATAATCTTATAAGAAAAACATCTCCATCTTCTTTTCCTCAAAGAAAAAGAGAGAAATAATGAATAACTTCACGGTGGCTTTGTAAAGTGTCCATTTGTCTAGGCTGAACTACATTTCCTAGAATTTCCTTTCCCAGATGTTCCTGATTAGATTGGGCAACAAGGCTTGGGAGATGGGAAGGTAAAAGGGAAGCAGCAGCTATTATGGCAGGTCGTTGCTGATATGCTGATGCACTGAGCTATTAGGAAGCAGCAGCTGGACCTGCAATCACTCTACCTTCTCTAGGATCCTTAATTATCTTCCCTGACTCCTGGACCAAGCACGTGTTCAGCTCTACATCTGAGGGCTTCCTCAGGCTACTCCAGTCACCAAGGTCAGAGACAACAAGAACAAAGGTTTCAGCCTCTCCTAGTGGGTTTCCAACTCATGGTTGTGAGGCTGGAAACTAAACATAAAAAAGTAAGAAACCAAAAAATGGCCCTTGCCAACTCCAGCTGGCCAATCGGGGCGGGCATGAGGGCCAGGGAGGCTGCTGGTTGGAGCTGTGTCCCTGCAGTTCCGGCGTCGCTGCGCCACAGCCTCCGGACGGTAGGGGCCGCTGTGGCACAGAGCCGGCGGGCGCGTCAGGACCGTCTTTCCCAAGGGCGGAGAGGAGAAGACACTTTGGCAGGTGAGCGGCTGGGGTTGCCGAGTGGCGAGGTCTGGGCTGTCTCTCCACCGCGCTCGTTTGGGACCTTCGCGGCCCACTACCGGGCGTCTCACTGCCGGGGGCGTGGGACACGGCGGCGTGGGGTCCAGCACCCAGAATCCTCGCTATTCCGGGGGCGCCCTGAACCAAGTCTCGGACATCTCTGACCCCCAGGGCCCACTCTTCGCCCCTCACACCAGGAGCCTGGCACTCTGGTCAGTGACCCGTCCTTGGACACCTCCACCTTGTTTAAGAACCCTCTTATTTCCTGGACCGTTTCTCGGTGCCCTTGCTCACCAAACTCGGTTTAAGGAAAATGATTTTGTGGTTGTTTTCACCTGTGGTGCCTCTTTTTGTAACTTCCAAGTCCTGCCTTCCCCTTGAAAGACAATGCCTGGAACTCAACTGAATGAAGTTTTTTCTTTCTGGAGACTTGGAATGCATGTGTCTCTTGAGTCCTAGCTAGTGGAGTGTAGGTACCACAGGATGGGAGGGGAGGGGATCCAAATAGTATGCACACCCTCAGTCTGCAACAGCTATTGTCATAACCTCCTTACTTAAAGTACAGTAAATTCAAGATGGAAAGGTATGTCTTACTAGTATTTTTTACATAAAAAACAATACAGAATCCATTTTATTATTTTTTAAAATTGTTGTTCAAATACAGTTTTTTGTTTTTTACTCCCATCCCAGCCCACCCCCGAAGCCCTCCCCATTAGTTTTTGTCCATGTGTCCTTTATACTAGTTCCTGCAAACCTTTCCCCTTTTCCCCTTAAATTCCCTCTCCTCTCCCCTCTGGTCAGCCTGTTCTCTATGTCAGTGTCTTTGGTTATATTTTGCTTGCTTCTTTGTTTTGTTGTTCAGCTTCCTGTTAAAGGTGAGATCATATGGTATTTGTCTTTCACTGCCTGACTTATTTCACTTAGCATAATGCTTTCCAGTTCCATCCATGCTGTTGCAAAGGGAGGAGCTCCTTCTTTCTTTCTGCTGCATAGAATTCCATTGTGTAAATGTACCATAGTTTTTTGATCCATTCATTTACTGACAGGCACCTAGGTTGCTTCCAACTCTTGGCTATTGTAAATTGTGCTGCTATGAACATTGGGGTGCATAGGTTCTTTTGGATTGGTGTTTCAGGGTTCATAGGATATAATCCTAGCAGTGAAATTGCTGGGTCAAAAGGCAGATTTATTTTCAGTTTTCTTAGAAAAATTCCATACTGTTTTCCATAGTGGTTGTACCAGTCTGCAATCCCACCAACAGTGCACTAGGGTCCCCTTTACTGTCCTCGACAGCACCTGTTGTTTGTTGCTTTGTCTATGATGGCCATTCCATTTTTAAAGTTTAAGTGATTACAAGTTTATGTTTTGTAAATCTTGTAATAATTTATAAGTACAGAGTCTAACTGATTTAGGAGTGAGGTGGGGTGAAGTGGTGGAATAGGGCGGGCAGGGAACTGAGAGACCAGGATTCTCTCACTGTCCCACTGTCAAAGGCACGATCTCTTGTTTAAAAAGAAGTCCAGATGGTAAGGATAACAGTAGCTACCATTTATTGAACATATCCTTTCAGAAATGTTTTCTCATTTAATCCACACAGTAATTCTATGCAATAGATAGCATTACCCCTTTTATAAAGGTGGAAACTGAGGCCCAGAGAGGTTGTCAGTTAAAATTCCAGTTTATAAATAGCAAAGTTGGAATTTGAGGATATGCTTGATTCTCCTCAAGATAGCAAGTCCTCTGGCTCTATCCCAGATTTGTTTATTCTAATTTAAATGATGTTTAAGGTGTTCTGCCCCAGACTTCAAGTTATTTTCTTAAATAATAAGTTAGGGTGGTATGTGAAACTAAAAAAGGAAGTATATTTACATCTCATTAAAATATTTTGTCCATTTTATAATTCCTTGTGTTTTTTAAAAGAAAAGCTTTGAATATTGCTAAGGTTCCTTCTTAATAACATTCTATGATTCTGATAATTTTGTTTTGCTATCTCTTTTATTGAGATACTCCAAAAATGAGTATCTGAAGATTAAATTTTTCTCCAAAGTAATTATATATTTCCTATCATGGTCTAATTTTCATCTACACTATAATGGAGATAGTCATGCCAGTTTTATGCCAGTGAAATATATTTCACAACTGACAAGTGTTTGTCAGTTGTGAAAGACAGTCTGGATCATCCCTTTAAGTATGAATTTTACTGCAGGAGAGAAAACCATTCAGAAATGAGCAGTGCTGATCCATCTCGGCCATCTTGCACAGCCTCGCCAATTGTGTGCTTGTTCCAGTGCAGGCCTCGTTCTCACTCGCACTTTGAGATGTGAATGCCACTCATGGAGGGTTGTGCAGAGAGGCAGTCCTTTGTCTCCGCTGCTTCCCTTTCCCATCGCATATTTCCTTCACGGGAGGTTGGGGAAGAGACAAACGTACAGAACGTTTTACCAGGGAGGGACTGATGAAGTAAATGCAGCTCAGTTTACCTCTTTTTTATAGGCAGGTATGAAAAATTCTCTGTTATGCGTACATGAAACACAGTTTATTTTCATTTGTTAATTATTGCATTATTTTCCATACACACGACTGTGAACCTCTTCTGCACCACCCCGTATAGTGCAGTAGGTGATCCCTAAATTTACAAATGCCCTTTCAGTAAACAGTTGCAGTGGTTTGCAGTTCAGGTATTCTTTAATTGTCGTTTCTGGTAAAGAGTTTAACGTATGTAACACATTATCAAGGTGAATGTGGATATCTGGGGTTGCAGTATAATAACTACTGTCTTTATTATTTCCTTGGTCCATTGCTAAGGAAACATAGGTTTGCTAAGGAAAAGAGGAAACTGAAGAATTTTAGAATTAAAATTCATTACAATTAATGTGAGAGTACTCTTTATACATAGTTTATAGACATCTGGTATAAGTCGAATTTCATGACATTCAACATCATTGCATCCCTTTAATTGTGTGATAGGGAAATGTCTCTCTATGTGTTTATATATAAATAGCCACACATATATATATATGAATACATATATTTTTGGACTTAAAGTGAGGCGTGAGTTCATCATCCTTAATTCTTGACACATGATCACCAACACAAGGTAGGTGATAGCTGTGGTCTGTGGACCCTTTTATGCTCTACAATGTGTGTTCCCTGTGCCTTCCTCTCCCATCACCTTGTTTTTCTTCCCAGTAAACAATTTTAAATCATATTCTACCAGATAGCTTTGTTTTAATTACATGCAGCTATTTCTTAATACTTACAAGAAAATGCTGGTGAGCATGACTTTTACCATTGCGTATTTGTTGTTTTTGGCCTTGTTAGTACTTTTATCTAATGCTCCAATGTCTGTTTGTGGTATATTCTTTTTTTTAAAGATTTTATTTATTTATTTTTTTAGAGAGAGGGGAAGGGAAGGGGAAAGAGAGGGAGAGAAACATCAATGTGTGGTTGCCTCTCACGTGGCCCCCACTGGGGACCTGGCCCACAACCCAGGCATGTGCCATGACTGGGAATCTAACCACGACCCTTTGGTTTGTAGCCTGCACTCAGTCCACTGAGCTACACCAGCCAGGGCTGTTTGTGGTATATTCTGAGGCTCTGATTCAGTCCTAACAACATGGATATGTTAACTGTTTCTTGCTTTGCATTTCTAATAGGCATGACCTATTTAAAGACTATAATACTGCTTCCACTTTATTGCTTCTTTCTGAATTTTCTGTTTTCCCATATTACTGTCAAACACATTATTAGCATAAGGAGAAATATCACTGGCACCTAGCCTAAGCACTCTGGTGGCCAACACTTTGACTTAAATGATAAATACATTTGTACTTGCCATTTAATCTGCTCCCATGGCTAAGATGGAAAGGTGAAATGCCAGCAGATTTCATAGAAGACAATGAACGCAATAGAAGCAGTAGATGGTCACCACAAGAAAGAAGAAGCAACAAAGGAATTTAGCATCACTCCCCTATGCCATCAACATTTTTGAAAGATTGAACCAAAACTGAAGTAGAAGTTAATGGCATTCTGGCACTAAAGCAGAATCAAATGTGAACAGCCTTTTTTTTATAGCTGTTTTTGTGTAGTATCAAGAAGTTTATACAAGAAATGGTCATGTAAGTGGACCCATTTTTTGCAGAAAGCATTGCATTTTCTGCAAGCCTGGGGCATAATGAATTTCAAACAGCTGTGTGCTGGTGGAACAAATTTTAGGCATGTTAGAGAATTGTTTCAGAAGTTGTAGTGAAAAAAAAAAAACTGTTCCAGTAGAGAAAATTAGTAACTTGCATGCAAGAAATTTAAAAAACAATTGCTAGTTACAACTCGAATGGTGTTTTAAATGCTGATGAAATTAAGGTTTACAGGTGGTTTGTTACTTCATATACTTCATGCCCTAGGAGGACTTTGCAAAGGAGGTAAACAGAGATTGATGATTACTCTCTTCTGCTGTAATGCATCCTGGATGCAAAAGATGAGACCGCTGGTCACTGGCAAGTCACTTAACTAACCCTCAGGGCTTCAGAAATGTTCATCGACTCCCCCGTGATTACCAAGCTAATGTGCATGCCCGGAGGATGAGAGATGTGTTTAATGAATGGTTGAGAAAGGTTGGCAAGAGAATGAAAGAAGCAAAATGCAGTGTCCTCTTGGTGATAAACAGTTGCTCTGCCCACAGCACTTACCTATGCTTGACTCATGTGTGTGTTTTCCCATTGAACTGCACAGCCATTCACTCTGCAGGCATCCGGTTAGGGTGTGACTTGTTCCATGAAAGCTCACTGCAGAAACAACTCTTCTAAATTTAGATGATGAAGGGAAAACAGAAAATAAATGAAGCAAGCCGTTGGCATGATTACTGAGACCTGGTGGTCTGTAGAGCCCTCCACAGGAGTGAGATGTCAGTGGAAAACAGGCAGGATTCCTGTGAAACACCCTACGGTCAGCTTGGAAGAAGAGCACAAACCAAACGTGGTGTTTGATCTCTTCCGGACTCGGGTGCTGCTGTCACTGCTCTCACAAATCGGTTTGATTTTGAAGGCACTTGTGGCTACAGATGTCAGTTGACCTACTTCCCAAGACTAGCAGATCTAAAATTGCTGCAGGAGCGCTAACTAATGTCAAAATGGAACCAGAGAGCGATGACGATGGTGATGACGGCAACAATGATAACGATATATGCAAGGGAACAAGTGCTGAACAGACAGCAGTGAACATTTCAGAAGTCCTTGCAAGTGTAGAAAGTGTTGACAATCTCTCCCTTAGAGCAGATGTTCCTGATGATGTGTTTACCCAATTAAGTGGGATAGATAAATAGCTTGTGACCACTGCAACAAAGATTTTTGGAAAAAAAAAACTGAACTGCTATAACTAATAAAATTGCAAAAATATTGGTTTTATAAAGTGTATAAAATGGGAGGCATAAAGAATACTTGTATAAACAAGGCTCCAACGAGTGTTTGAATGTGAATGTTTGACTCTTAAACTTTGTAACATTTACTGCATGGTCCGTCACTAATTTCAGCTTTTTTTTTTAAGTTTCTTTTCCTACCATCTCCCTTCCAACCCCTTCACTCCCCCATCATTAGGTGGCAGAAATGAAAACAACAAGCCTTTGCTTAACAGCACCTGGAAGAGAAAAGTATTCACAAAATGTTACCTCTGCAGCAAAGGCTGGGAGAGGTATTCACAAAATGTTACCTCTGGCTGGGAGAACCAGAAGCCAAAAGACTCACTTAGATCTAATCGGATAGATTTAGAGTGCTTCAGGGAAGAGAAAAGCCGTCCTTACCAGAGAGTCACTATAGGCAAAGGGGGAGTGAGGACACACTTACCCTTCCTGCTCGGTACCAGCGGTTGGGCCAGTGGCGGGAGGAGAGGAGCATGAAGGGAAAGTGGGACGGGCGTGAAGCTGTAGGAGAAACTGAGCAAAGGAATGCTAATACTTCTGTCAGCTTGGTGTCCCGAAAGTGCTTGTCAGGTTGGAAGGTGAGAAAGAGTAAAAGTGAAGGAAATAGAGAAGGGTGTGGGTAGCCCACTGCCAGCCTAGTACCTACTTCATGTGACAAATACAGTGTGATCAGGCCAACAAGCAATTCTCTAGGCTTTGGTAAGTAGGAAAACAGCTTTTGCCCACTTCACTGGTTTGTTCTGAGAGATGAAAAATAAAATAACCATTTTGCCAAACAATGCTTAAAGCACTATTCACAAAGTATGTGTTAAAAATAAAATAATCGACAATCACTTTTGGTATATATCTGGACTGGAATTTAAAAAAATTAGTTTTTATAAAGAGCATTATTGAAAAACAATCATGAAAGAACAAAGTGTCGTATTTTCTTTCTAGGTAATAAATCAGCATTAGCCCAGATGTCTTCAGCACCTGACCCTCCAGCCTTTAAAAATGAACCAGCCAAAGAGAAAGACTTTCGAAACCCCGGGCTCAGGGGGGTCCGCACGACAACTTTATTTCGGGCTGTGAATCCAGAGCTCTTCATTAAACCTGTAAGAAACATACACAGGATAATGCTTCTGTTTAGTTTAAGTAGGCTACCAGAAACAGAAAGTTCTTATTGTCCTATGACATTTAATTGTATCATGGCAATTTTATGTTGACTATTAAGATCTCTCTTAATAAATGCAGGTAGAAGGAAAATTTTAATGCTGTTCCACTAAATACACATGTGAAATGAATTATTTTAAGGGCCTTTGAGACTTAATGGAAAATGGTTGTACTTTCATGGATCAACTTCTCAAATTCCTATTTAAAATTTTAATAGCTGTATTAATCAGAAGGAAATTTTAAATGTTTGATGAGGTATTATTAAGTTAGATCTTCCAATGAAACAGAGCAAAATGAAAATCTGATCATTATTATAGACTACAATTCTAGCATTTATTAATAATGTTTTTTACCTAAGGCATAGTGCAAACATTTTGTTAAAAATGTACATTCGTATACTGTTAGGGAGTCAGCTAATCATTAATATTCTTGATGCAAATTATTGAATATATTTGATTTGATAAATTTTTACTTTTAAATAGACATAAATTTTATTTTTAAATAAATTTAAATCAATTTTTTATAAAATATACTTAGCTGTATTGAATTTTATTATAATTTTAATAACATGGTTGCCAGTGTAAACTGTTTACAGTTAAATAGATCATCAGTTTAGCAATCAAATCATTAAAGTAGAATGTTTTAAAAACGTTGAACTAATGTGTTTTTTTAGTTGTCAAATGCATTTTAAGAATTGCAAATTTAAACTACTCTTGAGTTTGTGGCCTTTCTTAGATGTCCATCCAAGTAAAAAGGTTCGACCTGTATTTTTTTACTAAGTTTTGAAGTGGTAGTGAACAGCCCGTATGGTGACAGAAACAGAACACAAATGGAAACTTTCATCACAACTCTGCGCTCACACTGACGTAAGAAAGGCCCATTAGTTGAGTGCGAACACTCAGAAAAGGAGGGTCTGAGTTACAATAATAAAGATCAACACTTCTGTGGAGTTGCAAACATCTTTCCTACCTTTAAAACTTTTTTTTAATTCAAAGCTAGTTGCTTTGCCTGTTAGGGTCTTGGATTTTCCAGCAGAAAAGCAAGGTTATAAAAACAGCATCATATCTGTTGCAGGCACTAAATTTCTTGAGGTGGCAGAATAGGTTCCCAGGGAAGAGTACATACGTTGCCATTTTTGCTGGACCTAATGTGTGGCATGAAAGGCTTTCTGCCAGTTTTTCACAAACTCGGGGGAGAAGAATAGCGTGTATATTTTGTTCCCCACTTCCTAATACAATTAAGTAATTTAAGGAGGTTACGCAACTTCTCTATGTCACACAGATAACACTGAAAACTTGAGCACCAGACCAGTTTCCACACCTCCTGTCTCCTCTGCCACTTTGCCACCTTCCTGAAGGTGGAGGTCTGAGATGCCCAGGCTGCAGACAGAAGGGAGACTGGAGAGGAGAAGCAAGAGTCTTCCAGACTCTCCAAATTATCGGGAATTGAGTTAACTCAATGGAGAACTAGATAAATTATCATTGAAAATATCATATGACTGCTAGGGTGGTAATAAAGATTTGTCAAGAGGAAAATGCCACAGGTATTTGGGTCCCCTCAAATTATTAATGAGGTTTTGTAATTTTTTTTCTTTGACAGAACAAACCTGTAATGGCTTTTGGATTGATAACCCTTTCGCTATGCGTGGCTTATATTGGTTATCTACATGCAACACAAGAGAATAATATGGAACTCTATGAAGCTATTGATAGTGAGGGGCACAGTTCCATGAGGAGGAAAACATCTAAATGGGATTAGTGGTGCTGGTTACTGTGGATGAGCTGTGTTAAGAGCTCCGGAATTGTTCAGTGATGGGCTATAAATGCACAGTCTCATGTTTTGTGTGCAGTTGCAACACACCGCTTAGTAATCTCTGTATTTTCAAAGCTGCAGCCATTATCTCATTCTTTTTCCAACGAAAGCTCCTCCATGTATTTTTTAAATGAAGTCCTCTTATGAAGGTGCCATGAGAATGGAAGTCATTTTTGTTGATTAAGTTTTATGTGATGAAAGTCCCCAGTGTTGTTAAATTTATATGGTATTTTTAATATTTTAAGGTGAATGGTGCATTTGCAGTTGCTGTGAGGGTTTAGTTGTTTTGATTTGCAAAGGAAATGTTTATTTTCTAACTGGACATAGAACCTGTGTTTGTGAAGAAAAAGAAATGATTGTAAATGATTGTAAACCCTGCAGTCAGTGTTAAAGACAAATAGTTTATCCAGAGTCACAGATGGTTCATATATTTTGGTTTCCATTTCAGCTACTTTTTGGTCCACAATTTTATTTTAATTGAAAAGATACTCACAGTCAACTAAAACCAAGATTAAATGGGAGAATAACCCAATGTAATTGGAGTTTTTTTTTTAAGAAAAGTATGTTATACTGAGCTATGATGTTTTTACTTGACTACAGCTGTTATCTATTTTAGTTTTTGCAGATTAATGCCACAATGATATAATAAACATGAGACCAAATGTTCTTACAGTTATTTGAAAACTAGAACTACTCAGTGAATAACAAAGTCTCCTTACCATCCTGGGTTTACCTAATATAATTGGAATCTTTCTGGCAAAGGTTTTGGACCTGTACTATTCCTAGGTACTTACCCCATTCTCCAAGTCATTGCAATCAGGGCTCAGTAATAAATCTCGTCTCTGAAATTTTGTTTCATTTATTATTACCAAGTAATAATAAATGCACAAGCAGAGTTTATCATCATAATGAATGTTTTTACTTTCCAGAACTTTAGTGTGATTTTGCAAAGATTCATGAAAATGCAGTTGTGCCTGATTTGTAGATGTCAAAGAGCTTAGCTGAGTTATCCATATGCATCTAAATTCAGTTTTTACTACTGAGTCCTAAATATTTCTTGCTTCCTCTCTCTACATAGTACACAGTTTAAAATATACTTCAGTGGTGTAAAATGTCTTTTAATTTAAAGTATTATGTTTTGCTTTTGGTCTCCTTGTGTACTTTGGTTGTTAATGAACTTGAATTCTGTTTTCAGTTTGTGTGTCACATTGTCATCTTTTATAATTCTTTAGTATTCATCAAAATGAGTTGCTATTGGTGGGGGAGATATTAGTTACATGAACTAGCAAGAGATTATCACCCTGGCTGGGCGGCTCTGTTGGTCAGACCATCATCCTGTACACCGAAAGGTTTTTGGTTCGATTCCCAGTCAGGGAACATGCCGAAGTTGCAGGTTCAGTCCCTAGTCGGGGTGCACACAAGAGACAACCGATTGATGTTGGACCTGTGTTGTTCCTACAGGATCTTTCTCTCTCTCTCCCCTTAACCCCTTCCGTTCTCTCTAAAATCAGTAGACATATCCTTGGGTGAGGATTAAAAAAGAGAGAGATTATTCCAGCTTAGAGGGTAGAAGGAATTGTACACCGACCAGCCTTAAGCCCTGTGACATCTACATGAATGAATTGGGGTAGCAGTAGATTGGGCAGGGCACACGGCTGTGAAAGAAAAATAGTGCAGTGGGCAATCACCTTGACTTTCAGGAATAAGTACCTAACTGATACTTTTTGCAGGATGGTTATGAGTTACAACACAGTGTGTGTGTAGACTGTCAAAGACCACTTGGCTGTGCATTGATGTTTCACTCATTTTCTAAGGGAAAATGCCGCTCCAACAAAGTCAGTTATGTCTAAGAAAGGGACAGTCAGGGCAAGATATTAACAGCACTTTGGAGAGTGGGTCCAAGTAGTTAAAGGAAGGTCTTTTAATGTGGGAGTCTGGCTGAGATTGGGCAAAAATCAGTAACAGATTAGGTCTTAAACCAAGTCTTGGTGAGATGACTGTTGATAAGTGGCAAATGACTTTTTGCCCAGGGAATTAATCTGTTCTGACAGAAGAGCAATTTACCCAGAGGAGCAAGCTGTTCAACTGATAAATGAGTTTTCAAGAATTTCCTGAAACAAGCAGTGAAATTATTTATTGGTTTATAGCCTTGTCTTTTATAGGGTGACCAATCTGTCCCAGTTTATCAGGCATGGGGTAGGGGGCGCAGGGGGACGGTGCTTTGCATGCAGGGCTTTCCATTTTAAAACAAGTTCAACAAATTATTTAACTATGTGACGTTAAAACCCAGGCTTAGGCCCTGGCTGGTGTGGCTCAGTGGATTGAGTGCTGACCTGCGAACCAAAGGGTCCCTAGTTTGGCTCTTAGGGCACAAGCTTGGGTTGCAGGCCAGGTCCCCAGTAGGGGGTGCTCGAGAGGCAACCACCCACTGATGCTCTCTTCCTCTCCTTTTCCCTCCCTTCCCCTCTCCCTAAAAATAAATAAATAAAATCTAAAACACACACACACACACACACACACACACACACACACACACAAATAAACCCAGGCTTAGTAATTTTGAATAATTTCAATGAAAAGTAATAAAAAATAATCTGGTATTTCCCAGTTTTATTGCCATGGCGTTAATACCACATTGATAAACTTTGCTGGCCTAAAATGAATCAATTCTTTAAATAAACCCTTTAAAGAAAGTGTAATGAGCTGAATAAGGTTCCCATACCCCACCCTACCTCCAAAGGTGTCCACATTCTAATCACTGGAACCTGTGAATCTGTTACTTGATATGGCAAAAGGGACTTTGCGGATAGGATTATGTTAAGGATTTTGAGATGTGGAAATTTTACCTTGTTATCTGGGTAGGCCTAATACAATCAGATTTCCTTAAAATGGAGGCAGAAGGTTAGAGGAAGAGCCACTTGTAGGGAACCAGTTGGTATGAATTTGGCGATTTTGACTCAGCCCTGTATCGAAAGCCGACAGGAGAGAAGTGGTGGGCAGGAGCCAGATGCTCAAAACTGTTTTCCCGTGGGGACCAGGCCTAGAAAATGCATCCAGACTGTCATGGCTTGCTCTTGCTAAAACTCCCTCGCCCTGGTCTGAAACAGTAGATGTTTATTGCCTGTCTTCAAGGTAGTTTCCAAAGCCTGTGTGAATTTTCCCAAGGGCGGAGCATGATCAGCTCAACACCTTACCCTTCTGCATTTGTTATTTTTGTTGCCTTGATTATACCTAAAATGTAGACAACTACAGTCTATGTAATAGATAATAAGACCTGAGAGAAACAATAAAAGCCTGTCCAGGGAAGGGGCGGGGCGCTCTTCCCTTAAGCGAAGCCGCCGTAGGACTCTCATCCTACCAGAGCACCACACCGTCCCTTTTTCTCCACAGGACTGCTGCAGTCTGTGCGCATTTGTTCTCGTCTTCAGCCACAACACGCAGACTCTGCTGGTCTGAGTCCGCCATCGCACTGTCACCGAGCAAGCAAGAGGTGAAAAGGCCACAGATTGAGAGGCCATGAACAAGGAATGTGTGTGGTCTGCAGAAGCTGCAAAAGGCAAGGAAACATTCTGCCCATGCTGACTCCATGATTTTAGTTAGATTTATTTTGGACTTCTGACCTCCAGGACTCCAGGAGAATAAATATATGTTGTTTCAAACCACTAAATATGTGGTAATTTGTTACAGCAGCAGTAAGAAACTAATACTGAAAGGCTGTACTATGCTACACTTTTGTCATTTCTAGCTGCTTTTATGAGCAAAGCTTGTCTTGCCTGGCAACAGTTGCTAAGTAAGTTGACAACTTAATGCTAGTGTCCAGGAGGGAGCAGCCGCTTAAATCTCCCCAAGCCCAGGGCCCATACCTTACATGGCAGAGGCTCTCAGTAACACTCTTTAACATTAGGCACATAACCACTACCTAATGATGGTGAATCACTCAGTTCTCAGCCTCTAGTATTGTTCTAAAACCTTGACCTCTCTTCCACTTTCTTAAACATCTAGCTTTTCTGAAAACTACTTTTTATGCTCCTAGGAATATTTCAACTGTACATAGTAAAGGACAAATTTGATTATGATCAGAAATTCAAGTTACACAAACTTTGTCTGCTGTGCTGTTTGTAATAAAATTATTCCACCAGCTCCTTTAGAGGAAACCTTCAAACGGATCCATGAATACAAGCCATTTAAGACACGCTTTTATACTCACAAAGATATACTGGGTAAGTGACTTTGCTATTCTCCTTTGTTGTAATGTTTCATAGCATAGTATGTCTTTCTTCCTGTTACAGACTTATTAGCTTTCCTGATCAAAGTTGCTTGTCCTGCAGGGATGTCTGTCATGAGAACATGGGTTGAAATTCAGCTTCTCCACTTACCATTTGTGTATCTTGGACAGGATACTTGGCCTCTCAGTCTGTAAACCTATTAGTAACATACAGATGTTAATAAATATTGCAGGTACATTATGAGGCTTTAAAGAAAGACAGGGTGGGCCCTGGCTGGCGTGGGTCAGTGGACTGAGCACCAGTCTGCGAACCCAAAGGTTGCTGGTTTGATTCCCAGTCAGGGCACATACCTGGGTTGGGGGCCAGGTCCTCAGTAGGGGATGTATGAGAGGCAACCACACGTTGATGTTTCTCTTTTTCTCTTCTTCCCTCTCTCTCTAAAAATAAATCAAATCCTTTAAAAATTAAAAAAAAATACAGGGTGGGACAAAAGTAGGTTTACATGTGAGTACATGAAGCAGTTATTATATTTATTAATTGTACAAGTAACGGTAAAACCACTTTTGCCCCACCCTGTATTTGTGCCTCTTGAAAAGCCTGGCACATAGTAACAGGGGTTCTTTCTGCCCTTGCCCATACTTAGGCACCTTCCATACTCAAAGGAGTGGCAATATCCCTATCACCTTAATAAATGGGTGAAAGAAACTATAACCTATATTACTAGCTAGAGACATAAAAGTAGATACACACCAATAACATGAGAATATTTACTACATATACACTTGTAATAAGCAAATTAAATCGTAACTAACAGGTTTCCTTTTTTCTTATGCCATCAGAGGTTCGGTTTGAGTTTGAGCCTTAACATTGTTTTCCTAAGGACTCTCAGAACACTCCTCTGATCTTCTCTTCCTCTAACCTGGTAAACAAGCAGTGATTTCATTTCACTCCTGACCTTTGAAAAACAAATGCTAGAGAATGGAGAGTGTTTTAAAAGAACTTAAATGTAGAGGGAGAGCAAATTGGAATCAGCCCCTAAAAAATACCAATACCAAAATTGACTTTAACTATAGTGTAGCAGACCCTGTCCAGCAGAGTCCGCCTGCTGTGGTTTCCGACGAGAATCATTCACAGGCAACGACAACCCTGTGTGGAAAAAGGGAACAGGCACGACTACTCTCTCAAGGGGGAAGTGCCTATGGTGCCTCAGCCACTCCCTCAAGAGGGGAGCGCCCCAACCCTTGCCTAGACAGGCTTTTATTGTTTCCCTGGGGTATTACATCATGGAAAGATTTATTATCTATCACATAGAATATTATTGTCTACATTCTAGGTACAATCAAGGAAATAAAAATGACATGCAAAGGGGAATGACGATGAGCTCATTAGCTCTGTCCTTGGGAAACTCATACAGGCTTTGGAGGTTACCTTGAAGATAGACAATACACATTTGTTGTTTTAGACCAGGGTGATGGAGTTTTAGCAAGAGCAAGCCATAACAATCTGTATGCATTTTCTAGGCCTGATTCCCACTGGAAAACTCAGTTTAAAGGTCTGGCTCCCGCCCACCACTTCACATCTGTAGGTTTTCCATACAGAGCCGAGTCACGTTTGCCAGGCCAAGACAAAGTGGTCCCCTAACTGTTTAGTATGACTTTTAACTATAACCTCTAAAATGGCTTGACTTTTTACACCAGGGCAGTGGGTATCCATTCTTAGATAAGCTTTTATTGATTGATTCCTTATACCTTCTAGGATATCTGAATCAAGATATTACGTGGATAAATTAAATCTAACTAGTTAGAAATGAACCCTTTATATTCAGTGACCCGTATTTGTCACTGACTACTTTAAGTCGAAAGAGTCAGCAGTCTCTCTTCCGTAGAAGTCGGTCCAAAGGCTCGTTGGGATGCCTGTGTAGTTCACTGCTGATGAGCACGGCGGAGAGCAGTGGTCCTCAGGCCTGAC